AAAACACAAAAATCCACCTGAGACTCACATATATATCTAACAATTTGCTACGTCATTAAAACACTAACATCAGCATGTCACATCAACATTTGTTTAATGTCGTTAGGCCCAATTTAATGGTAGAGGTCAAATTATTGCAATTTTTATAAAATAAGGACCAAATTGAAACGCCGAAAAAGAAGGGGACCAATTTGAGATTCTGGACGAAAATAGGGACTTACAAAAACATTAAATCTATTATTATTGATTGTGGAATAATTTTGGACCAATCACAGAATGACACGTAGATGATGTTAAAATATTTTAAAAAAAATGTTGTTAAATTATCATTATCCAAAATATACATAAATAAGAAATAGAATGAAAATAAAGATATTAGATTTAAGAAAATTATAGAAAATGAATGAGAAAAAAGAAGAATAGAAATTACCAATGAATTTCACAATTTTTTTATCTCTATGTTCTTTCATTTCTCTTTCTGGGTTCTACCACAAAACAGTTCAGAATTAAATTATAATAACAGGAGGCGAAAGAAATAAAATCTCCTAAAAAAAAGCATATTTTACAGTGGTCTGAAGAAAGAATAGAAAGATAGATAAAGATTCTAAAACTAGAAGAATCTAAAAGATGGCATCCCTCCCTTTGGGCATGGGGCAGTAACCCCAAACTGAAGGACACATTCCCAAAAGGAATCACTAGGCATCCTACAGATACTCTCACCCACTATTCATGTTTACGACCCAATTAACCTTCTTTTATATACTTTTTTTTTAAAATAATTATTACTATTTTCAAATCAGCAATGCCTTGATTTAATTTCAGAATGATAACGAGGGTATGAAATGTGATTAGAATAACTTAATGGAAAATCGAATCATCAAGAAAAAGAAAGTGAGAGATAAAGACATTAAAAAAATGTTGTCAGTAATTTCATTTATTTGATAAAATAAAAAATGTAGGTTAAATTATAAAAATAAAAAGATATTTTGTAATAAAATAAAATGTCATATTTTTTCAATATAATTTGCTAAGATCGTGTTTGGATTTGAAGAAGAATTTATGAAAATAAATAAATATGAAACTGTTTAAATTAAGAAGAAAAGATGAAAATGAGAAGATTTGAAATTTTTTTATAAAAATTAGTAAATAATATGACAAAATTGTTAGATTAAAAAATTATTTTAATTAAAAAATAGAAAATTCTTATTATTTATATTTATTATTGTAATAATTATTTAAATAAAAATTGACTTTGTTTAAAAATAAAATTATTTAACTTTCGTCACAACTATATTCTGTGTTGAAGAGAAAATTAAAACAAAAAGAAAGTTTTGATTTCGTGAGCTTTAGTCTTCCATGGATTACTTTCTACATGAATAATAAATTTGTACATTTTCGTCTGTTAAATAAACTATTAAATAAATGTGTGCCGTTATAAGAAAACAGACTTAAAATTTCTTACCCGTTGTAAATTGATAGGATGACGGATTGGTTGCTAATTTTTTTTAATTATATATAAATATATATTAAAATTGCATTATAAATATTTTTTTAATTTTAATTGGTTAATTAATGCTTTTAATGAATAAATTATTAAATTATTGTTTTATAATTAAAATTAAAACTTAATTTCTAAGTCTTAAAAATTTAAATAATAATATCATTGTATATTAATCAATTTTTAAAAATATTTTTTTATTTCTATTTTAAAAAATGAATTTGTTGATTAATCAATCCTATTTTATCTTCCACATGCTAATTTGTTATGATAGAAATAAGTTGATTAATTGAAATTTTTAACCCAACCCATCAAATTATGATAGATTGGGAATCAATTTGTCTGACTAAACTCATTTTGTCATCTTTAATTTTTTTTCATAAATTATTTATCAAATAATTTAAATTATGTAGGCTTCCATATATTTTTATTTTTTAAAATTCTAGACTGTAATCCAAATCTCAACAATTCACACAAATTCATTATCTCTATTTCCTTTTGTATAAGTGAGTGAAAAAAAATAGTTAAAAAGAAACAATAAAATCAACTGTAATATTATTTCTTTTACTTTTGAAAGACTTAATTTTCATGCTAGGTTTTTTTACAATGTTAAATGGGAGACAACAGTTTAAATTATTATCTGATCAATTAATTAATTAATATGGAAATTGTAAAGTTTATTAGTATTAAGATGACAAAAAAATCTGCGAGTTTGGATACCTGCAGATAACATGTAGCGGGTATTTTAATACTCGCTTTTAAATAGGTCCAGTATGAGTAATATACTACCTGACTCGAAAAAATAATAAAAAAATTAATTTATATATTTTTTAATTAAATTTAATTAAAAATAAAATAAAATCATATTTTATTATATTAAATTTAATTAAAATTAAATTTTAATTTATATTATATATATATTTTATAATTTTATTTTAAAATGTATAAATTTTTTTATTTATCTTTTGTGAATATCTTCGGATACCCATAAATTTTAAAATACTCATAAATATTTTATAAATAAGTATCTGCGTTAGCAATAGATCGAGTAGGAAGTATAATTTTATTCGACGAATAAAATATGTTGTATTTGAATTCAATTAAAGCGAGGACATGTTTGTTTGAATAAATATTTTTTTATTTTAGTAATGTGAAATTATAAATAACTCATTTTACTAAAAATGTTTTTTAAAAAATTTAAAATTCGAATATCTTCTTACAACTAGCCCCATTGACTTGACGTTTATGGGCCTTCCATTACTCATGGCTCCAACATCTGACAAACATGCAGCCGAACACTCATTTTCCAACAGCAGTAGTTTTTTTTTTTAAATAAAACTTTAAATAGTTTATTAAAAACAACAAATTGTAAGAGAACAATTTCATCAGGTTTTAAATATTTTTCTCAAAAATCCTTCTAAAGTTTTCTTCTAAATTTAATTCGATTAATTGATCTATCATCTTTTTTCATCAAACTCTTAATTATTTTTCATCTATATATGACAAATAATATAACAACATAGGTTGAGCCACGTGATATTGACTGTAACAAAAAAATCCATGTTAAAATAAAAAAAATTAAATATGTTTTTTATTTATAAACAATAATATAAATTCAAATTTATTTATATTTAAAATTTTAATATATTTTAGTTTACAATTTTAAAATAATTTAATATGAATTTTAATCTAACAATGTGTTATTTTTTATGCGTGTTAAACGAAATTTTAAATTAATATTTGAATTATAATATGTTAAAGAGTATAAATAATTCCAATATTAATTCAAATCGTTTATTTACACATCAAAACAATTTAACATTAGATTAAAAAAATTATATGTATTTATTTTAAAAATTTGAAAATTAAGTTATATGATAATCTAAAATATAAATAAATTTTAGTTTTATATTAAAATATATAAATTAAAAACGTATTTAACTTTTAAAATACTAATTATTTTATTTTAGAATACTATTTTTATTTTTTTTATTGATTCAAGATCTATATTTTTTCCATAAATACACATATATACAAACACGTGAAACCCAGTTCAAATGAAAAAAAAAGTCAACGAAAATCACATAAAAACTGAATTTGATGGGGGAAAAACTAATGTTCAAACCTTAAGCATATTACAAGAATTTGTATAAACTACAGTCAGTAGTGTTAATTGCCAAATGATGTGTTTACGAACCCAAACACTCTTAAATTGCACAAATACAGTGTTAAGATTATGATTAGTATATGTTGAAAAAAATACTAATTTTTAGATTGATTTTCTTAATATTTTGTGCGTATACTTCTTCGTTCGCTTTGCAAAGAAAACCCACATCACTTACATATTTACGTAAAAATACTATTTGCATAATTACAAAGGAAAATGTGATATAATCAATTATATTATTAAATAAATAAATATCTTAAATTTAGCATTATAGTCTCTTAAAATATTCAATCTCTTTTATTATATTAATAAATAATTAAAATAACAATATAGAAGAAATAAAAAGGTTTTCAACTATGCTCAGGTAGTGTGATATATGTGTAACTTAAGTGGATAAGAGACTTTTCGAATTTATGATAATAGAATAATGAGTACAAAATATGATATTAGAATGATGGAGTATTCTCTAGGAAATATTAATGGTATTTATAAAATTAACATAGACACTAAAATTATATTATGGTATCAAATAATATCTTTATCTTAAGTAGATAATAATAACAAAATCATATCATAAATAACAAGTATAACATTAAATTTGAGAGATTAATTATGATTGCAGTTAATATTTGAATATTTTTTCAATAAATCAATTCTTTATTTTAAGATGAAAAACGTTTAATAAATCTCTCTACTCTATTTATTAGATTGGATAGGTACAATTAGTAATTTAGACTAATAATAAATATGGACTTTGTACGATAAAAAAATACAATTTTAGTAAAAAGTTAAATTTTGTTAATTTTACTTAAACTCTCATAATTAAATTTAGTCAAACTCAGCTAATAGTTAAAATAAATGAATATATATTTAATATTTAAAAGTAAAATGTATTAATATACTTTATATTGAACTAATTATTTATTTGATAAAAAATAAAAAGTAAAAGATAAAAACATTAATAATCAAACTATATTGAATCTTTTTGTTTTGTAGTCATTGTTAGAATTTGCATTGTGAAATTCTGGAACGAATGACTCCATACAACACAAGTAACAAGTAAGGGTGAGAACAGAAAGGAGCACTTGTTCTGGAACCTGAAAACAGAGCAATATAAATAAATCCGAGTTATGGCATTGACAGAGCCAAATGCAAAGCACTGTCCAAAACAGAGCAGTCTTTCACCTCTCAGGCACGCAAAGTTCATCGAACAAGTTATCACCGATTGCAGAAAAAGTAACCCTAGTTGAACCCACAGAACCAACAAGTAAGTTTCCACTCCGATTCTTTTATTTAACGCAAGTTATGTGAAGTAGTTGATGAGGGTTTGAAGCAATGCAAATGGAAAATATATTAATGGGGTGATGGAGAAAGTATATTACCCGTCACAAGTTGCAAAATAAGTGACAGGATTATTATTCTGTAACCATCTTAGAAAGGAGCAGAATATCTTAGCCTTACATATTGTTAGCGAATATATATCTGTATTGCAGTGGGAATTGGTATCTAATCCCCACCGCCACCACCACCAGCCTGTAAAAATCTGAACAAATGATATTACAATACTGAGTCCAACATCAAATGAAAAGGTCAGATGCATACATAGACTCCTATCATAGGTTTATAACCCTCAAGGGATCAAATCCAAATGACCCCGCTACACATACCAGCCTCAAGGGAATCATATCTTGTTGAATCCCTAAAAGGTATTCGCCAACTTGCACATCACTTCACTCTCCCTTATTTAACCACCCACCCAGACACTCACCTACACACACTCTTTTCCTGTTCTCTTCTTACTTCACTCTTCCTAACACATTCACATACACAGTACTCCATTGATGGGGTGGACACGAGAAGAGAATAGACGTTTTGAGGATGCTCTTGCGGTTCATGGCCCTGACGACCCAAATCGGTGGCAACATGTGGCCAACGCCGTGGGGGGAAAATCTGTAGAAGAGGTGAAAATGCACTATGAGATTCTCCAGGAAGATGTCATTCGAATTGAGCATGACCAAATTCCACTACCCAGGTACAGAGGTGCCGGCATCAATGGAAGACAAATTGACAATGAACAAAGGTAATAACAATCAACTTATTAGAATGTGCGTTATGTTATTTCTTTTTCATTTTGTGTGGTATTCTCTGTTATTCCCCCACTTGTATTAGAGGAGGAAATCACTATTGTTGCAAACACCAAAACTCGTGAAGAGTTTTGTGGAAGTTTCATTGGATCAGGGATAACCCTTTGCATCTGCATTGCCAATTTCGTTAGTCTTTCTGTTTCAAAATAGTTCTCACATCTCTTGTTTTGGAGCTTTTGATTACAATGATCAGAATGTCTTGAGAAATTGCAACAGCAACCCAATAAACGGTGATTTTTTATATTATTATTGTAAGCAGAGAGCACGTGAAATTTGATCCATCAAGTTTCATGTCACATGCACCTGAGATCTATTGGTTTGGATAATGTCCTAGGTGATGCTAGTAATATTAATAATTATCAACATGTCGATAAGGTATTGGGTAATAATCATTGATTCATGCGTCGACGTTTATCTTCATTCTCGGGTATATTAGTCCCCTGCTTAAACTACCTGTAATCATTGGGTGTAGTTTTTTTGGCACATGCAGTTGTCTACTTATTTATGCACATCTTAAAAGGCTGAATTTGTTCTTACTCTGAATATAAGCTGATTGTTTTCTTCACCAGGCGAATGAGGAATCTGACTCTCCGATGAAGCAACCACTTTAGCACTGTGGAGTTGTAAGTTTCCACGAAGGCATGTGCAATTTATGTTGGTGTGCTCACTTGCTTTGTGTTTCTTTTCCTGTCATATTCACCCAATTGTAATTTGTAAGAAATATCATGTGATATGTAACTTTGCCGGATATTAACAAATTGTATGTAGTTACAAGTTTTAATGGTTAAACACCTGTTAATCATTTAATTTTATTCTTTTAGCTACAAGTCAAAAACTCAAACATAAACACAAAACTAACTGGATACGTCTAGATGACTAATTTTCTATCTAGGTTGGAATTTAATATGGTGGAAGGTAAGAAGACTGATTAGACAGATAGTTTTAGAAACAGCAAAATTGCACAGCAACATCTTATTTAAAACCAGAGACACTGTAATATTGAGAATATTTTGGTGTTATATACCCCCATTTTGTTGGATTGTTTTCAGGTAAGATGAATGATAATTGTATAGAAAGATAGATTGGGGACATTAAAATTTTGATGATTTTGATAGAAATGCATAACATGCTGTCTAGCTTCTGCCTTAATTTTCACTTTTGCCCATACATGTATCTTGATTTAACATCAACACTAATGGTAAAAAGAAACATTTTATACCTTGAATAGAAGGGAGTTGAGCAGAGACGTCATATATCAAGGTGAATGAGAACACAAAATAATAATAAGGTGACTTATATTTATATTTATTTGATATATATTACAAAAATAAAATAATTATAAAAAATGCATTTTTATATTAATTTAAAAAATAAGAAAAACACTGTCAAATGCGCAATAAAATGATTTTCAGAAAGAGTTATATCCTTCGGATCTTCCGTGAAGCATATTTCGTGTTCGAAATTAACTATACCAGTCAGGCTTATATTAACTATATATTATTCTTTTAAGGACATATTCACAAGAATTTCCCACTCTCAACCCCAACCTTTATATTTCATTCAACCTATGCACGACTATTCAGTACAATATTCCTTGATAGAATAAAATTTTCATAAATGCTAAAGAAAACCCCAAATAAAATTTAATATTTGAGAATTAAGGTGGAAAAGTAAATCATATACACAAACACTCAATGTGCATAGTTTTTCCACAACAATAAGGTTACCGTAGATAGCAAAAGCAATAATAACGTATAAAAAAACGGCGATAATGGATCAATAGAACAAAACAATACATTTATATATATATATATAAACTCTTCCAATGATTTTAAGTGAGAAAAAATTTATGAACAATGACACTTTGAAACATATTTTATTTATTTGAATAAAATAAAATAAAATCACACAAAAAAAAATTTGTATTTGTAAGAGAAAACAAAGTAAAAAAATAATATAAATGAGTGTAAAAAAAACATTTGTGTCATAATATCACCATTTTACATTATGCATTGCATAGCAACACATTTAAAATTTATATAGGTAATATATATCTTATTAAACAATTGTTTAAATATGATTAGAGAGCCATACGTATAATGTAACTTTCTTTTTCTAAATAGAATCCACGTACATAAGAGCTAGCAACAATATAATTAAATATTAATTTAGTTTATTCATAATAATGTGGTCAAATTGAAGCAGTCACAAGTGAATTGGGAGAATAGTTTTGGCTAGAAATAAATCTGTCTTTCCATAATAGAACAGCTTCTAAGAAAAGACTTGTAACTCAGAATGATAGGTAAACACATTTGACAAATTATGAATTCAAAATTACTATTAAGGATGTGGCTATTCTTAAAAAAAATGGAGAACGAGGAAAAAGCAGCAGCAAGGGTTGTGGCAACAGCAGCGTAGAGAAGCTAAAAAGAAAACGGAAAAGAAAATTTTCTAAAGATAAGAAATGAGAACGGGAGAATCGGGCATATGAAAAAGACCGGGAGAAAGCCGTTATGTGTGGCTAAAATGGGTTGTGGCAGTGTATATAAAAGAACGGATTGTAATGAACAAAGTTGCATATCATTGCCACCCTTGGTTCACTAATTTTCAAGGCGTTTCTGCAATCCTTGATTCCAGGGTAAAGGAATAAGGGGAAATGGCGAAGATATCATTACTTTTGGTGTTTTCGGTGGTGTTGGCTCTGCCATTCCGTGCGGTTTTGGGCCAGGACGATTGGAAGGATCTCTTGGGTCAGGGAGGGCTCTCCCAAGACGCATTGGACCAGGCCCAGAGAGCTATAGGTGGGGCCGCGACCCAAGATGCTGTCAGTGATTACTTCGGTTCGGCCCTAAGTGGCGCCTCCTCCGACGACTCTTCTTCTCCTTCTTCCTACGAAGATACCGATGAAGGCCAAGGGTCATCCTTGGCCGACTTTTTAGACACTGAAGCGTAAGCAACCATAATCCTTTTCCTCTCTCTCTCACTTCAACTTTTTTAATTCTCCAAAATTTCTACTTAATTTCTTTAGCATTATAAAAAAAAATAATCAGTGAATATATTTTGGAAATCGTGGATAATTAGGTTTAATTTGAAACTAATTTCGTGCGGTTAACTACTGTTTTGGGGACCGGTAGTGCAAGCCACGACACAGAAATTCCACCCACGGAATCAATGGCAGATTCACCGGTTGGAGCACCAGATGCTTTACCTGAATATGAAGATGATGACGAGGAGGAGGATGAAGACGAGGACGATGATTCTTCTCCCGCAGGTGCACCAGAGGGCTCTTTCTCACCTGCAGAGGCACCAGTAGACTCAGACGACGAAACATCTACCGAAGCACCAAGCAATGCGCCAGTGGAAGCACCTGAATCTGCACCCGCAAATTCACCAACAAGAACACCAGAGTCGGATGATGATTTTGAGGAAGGTGAAGGGGCACCAGCAAGTGCACCTACCGGGGAACCAGACAGTGATGATGATGAAGAGTTTGATGATTCCCACTCTTCTTCTTCACCCAGCAATGCTCCCGCGCAGGCACCTGAAGGGGACCATTAGACGAGTGATCCTTTTTTATTGACATTAACAATTACATACATTTTCTTGCCAACTTAACTGTGTATAGTGTAAGGGTGATATCTATGTTGAAAATAGGGTTGGAGTGTAAAGTAACACCTCCCACTTCATCCTCATTTAACATGACTTTTCTTGTTGAACAGATATACCTAATTTCTATCAGGTGGAGAACAATACATACTGATGAAGTGAATCAAAGTTATTAAATAAATAAATTTGCTATATTCTATTTCTTAAATTATAAATTTTATTATTTTATTTTAAACTGTAATAATATCATACAAAAATTACACTTTCTTATTCATTCCTTAATATCCTTAGAACACTAGTAATTCATTCGGTAAGCAACCTCCTTTGTTTTACTTTTTAATATTTGTGTGTATCTCATACAATTATTTCAACTTACTCATCTTCAATTTAAATTGAAATTTCAATGCATCATATGCTAAATTACGATCTATTGTGTTATCGTGTTATCATTTTTTTTTTCTCATGCATATGTCCATTTAATTTATAATATATCATTGTCAAATTTAGTAGAAAAATTAATTATTTTACCAACAAATTTACGAATTTTAAAAAATTCCAATGAATACTTTGTACATTTACTTTACAAAGAGAAGACACACCTTGTATTTCTTCATCCTTACTAGAGGTGTCATTTGAGCCCTGGTCTATGGATTGACCCTGACCCTTCTAAAATCAAGCCGCAATTTTCTATCCCACTTAATAGGGGGCTTTTTAAAAGTCTCAACCCCTAAAGCCCCACATAAAGTGGGTTGGGTAGGGTTAGGATGAGGCTAGCTCCCAAACTAAATTAATTGATTTTTAATGTTTTTTTAGTTATTTCTTTTATTTACTTTACAAGTTTAATAATTTCTAAAATTTAAATGATATTTAATATCTTTTTAATTAAATATAAATGTATAAATATTGATTTTATAAAAAATTATTAAAAATAATTTTTTAATTATAAGTATATTTTAAATATATAATTTTATTATTTTGGAAAGTTAAAAAAGAAAAATTTTATTATTATTTTTATTTAAAAGAAAATGAAAAAAATTTCAAAAAATAAATTATAAAAGTAACACAGTTGAAAATTCCATTTTTCAATCGAATTCTGATATCTATATAAATATTTGAAATATTAATTATGGATATTAAATTTAAATCTACTGATTGGATGAATTTTTAATATCGGTGTAAAATTTTTATTTTTTATAGTTTGAGTTTGTCATATAAAATTCTTTTGTTGAATGTTTTGTATAGATATATATACATAAAAAAATTAAACCACAAACTTTACAAAGTTTAAAATTAATTTCACGTAATAAAATAACTAACTTTTTAGTGAAAATCCTTATTAGGCAAAATTGTTATAAATATCATATATGTTAGATCTAGATGTAGTCCTAGTGGTTATAAAATCATATTTTTTTTTCTAACCTTTTAAATTAAATTAATATTTTAAAATCAGACTTATCTTTATCCAACAAAGATCGATTTTATTGAATTATTTATCATGAGCCAATTGTAATAAAAAATAATTAAATAATAGATACAATATTTTTAAATAAATATAATGTTATAATTTATAATACTAAAATTAAAATTATTATTGTATTTAATTATTATCATATAAAATAAATAAAAATTATAATAATTATAATAATAAATAAATTACATCAATGTCTCTTAATAAGAAACTAATAAAAAAGACAAATGAATATAATATAAAATATATGAAAAAGACATAAAAATATATAAATTGATGTAAATGACTAAATTATAAGTTTGATAAATTTTTTTTAAAAGAATTATATAACTTTATAAATAATAAATATTAATTTTATTAAATTTGGAAAATTAAAAAAGTTAAAAAGTCAAAATTTTAACATGTTCACACCAATTAAAAATAATGTAATTTTGATCACAAATCTTAATCGAATGATATTGATTTAAACCAGTGACAAAATAGATTACCATCTATAAATAAATTCGTTAGTCCATCAAAATTTTACAAATTAAATTAAATTTTTTAACTTTTAAACCTATTTTATGTGGATATCTCTAAATCGTCAAATTTACAAACCAAAATTAAGAAACCAAAATTAAGATGAAAAAAATTATCAAAACAAAATTTGGAAATTAAGGAATAATTGTATAAAAGCATTATTATTAAACTAATTAATATAGAAACAGCTATGAAGTAGAAAATTAATTTTATT